GGAGCCCTTTGCCTAATGAGCTGCTCATGGAATTACCAACATGCTGCTCTAGAAAGCACAGTCTGCCCGGGGGGAAAATTCTCCTGAGCCTTACAAAGAACACTTTAGTTTGGCCATTTTCTTCCAGCCAATAGACTCTGTCAACGATAAGCACTCTGTCTGTTCAACTTTTAATGCCTATTACAGACACTCTCTTAGTTTGAGATGCAAAGTAGAGAACAGTAAGGGACGTAATTGCCTGCTTTAAAATGGACAAATTGGTATGTCTGCAGGGACAGGAATCCCCTTTTGGTTGGGAAAACTCTTCCAAGACCTCACCATGAAGCAAACAGAGCCACACAGCAGTGATGCACAAGCTGTCAGGTAAAACTACCCCTAGCAAGGACTAGTACAGAGATGTCTAACTTGGCCTGATGGTACCAGTTAGGAGGGCTGGGTACCATTCCCAACTGATACTCAGACCCCTGTCCTTAAGAAAGCTGAAGCCAAGGTGAAAAATCCTTAGGAACAATTTAAAAAGAAAGAACTTCAACATTCTTCCAAATAAAGAAAAGCAAAGATTTGGTTATGGTGTGTTAAAGACAAAAAATAACAAATGGGGGAGTAAAGTTATGTATCTGATGGTAAAACCTGACACCAGGAACACTGTGGTCTGGCACTTATCTCCCAGACAGATGGCCCAGAGTGATTTATCTCAGAGGTAGAGAGAAAGACACTGCTTTCTTAACAAGAAACACTGAGAAAGTTAAATACAATTAAACGCTCCTGAACTTGGGCCAAACATCTCAAAAGTGTTGTCCTATTCTGACACTGACAGCAAGATGTTTTCTGACATAAATTATTAATTTCAATCTTGATGCAATTTTTTATAGCAAGCAAACTACTGTAAGTTTTACTTTTAAATATTGATCGTGGCAGAAAGTTCACTTGGCAAGCAACTACAGCTGACATCCAGAGGATTTTCCCAAGAGGCATCAAATTGCTGAATCTGTCTTTCACTAACTCGTAACACAAAGAAAGTCAGACCAAATAAATGGATATATTAATTCAGCACCAGTCACATCATAGACAAAACCCCCTTTTAGGCAGAAGTAGAATACAGGACTTTCAAACTCTGGAGTACAATATTTAAAGGACTTATAGAGCACATGACAGACCCCCAGCTAAAGGTCTGTGGTTACAAAGCCCGAGTCTTCTGACAGTCTAAAACCAAAGGGTTCTGAAAAGGTTACAGTAAATCCTCCAATGGGGAAAGTCGTGAAGTTAAACACCTCAAAGGCACAACAGAACACATAATTCTGACTTGAGTTTGTACTTCATGTACTGGATACAAAAAGAAGTGGTGTAAAAACACAGAAGTAAGTCTGCTTTAACTAGAACAATCTCACCTGTACGCATTTTTTGAAGCTGGGCGGGGGTCAAACTTGAATAGAAGGATGCACATTGAAGAACTGATGTTTAAATCTTGGTTCTTCCACAAAGGCTCAATGTAGGGTCATTCTGCAATAGCCTGAAATGCAAATTAAGATTATCTATTACACTGCAAATTATAAAAGGATAAACTTGCTTCTATGCTGAAGCTTAAGGATTGCAATGTACTGACTTTCTTTGTCTCTATCAAGTCAATCCCTAAACAACTGGTTTAGAAATTAATCATAAATTAAAGATGCAGTCTTGAATTCTGGATAACTGATTTACTAGCCAGGTGTTTAAAAAGATCCACAGCCAGCTTTACATAGAAAATCTACTCAGTTTTAGGGTGTTATCCCCCTTCTCAGACTCCTAGTGCTGAATTCTCAGTAGACTGCAACCATACTGGACTTGTACAACTGAACTACTCGGACCTTCTACATCCAGACCTTGCCAGCTTTTCCCAAAACTCAGGGTCATGTACCCCAGCTGCTCTATGTCACCAAGCCTATTTCCCAAACAACACTCAGAAGAGATCCCCTCAAATCCACAGTTGAGCAGTTTCCATTTAAAACACCACCAGCAATATGGTGGGTAATCCATGAAACTTTTTATTGGCAAAGAAGGCCACTTGGTGAAAGCAGGGATATAAAATACAGTTTTAATGGACAACTGTTGCTGACTGCTCTTGCTGACTAAGGAGATAGGGCTCCTGGTATCCATTAGGTGTCCTGCCAGCCAATTAAATGGATTACTCAATAAAAAACTGTTGGCAATTAATCACTCATAAGACCACTATTTTAATAAACATGTTTCAGGCTCCATTAGCTGATGTATTGAGTTCCCTTCAAATAATCAATTCAGTCCAGCTGTTTGTGCAAAATTACTGGCCACATAAAACTTACACAAAAACTGCCAGTCAGAAAACAGCAGTAGAATAAGTTTGTAACATTCAGCACAATTATCTAGAAGGACAAGTATTTTCAACACTTCAATACCTTTCTACTACTGCTTTGACAGAACCATTTTTTGTCACCCCATCAGCCTTGCTTGATGTTATTACAGTACTTTAGGTTACATTTGTGGTTTTATTAACTCCAAATATCAAACCAGTATTACTTATCTTGGGCTCCACCTGCCGGCCTTGAAACAAGCCTAAGTGTTTATAGGTCCTACATAAACAGCCCAACCTTTTTTTTTTCATTCAGACAAAGTGTTAAGCCAGATAAAACAGAGCTACCCCTTAAAATAGCAGCAACACTTAACTGGCAAAGGAGGTAAGCAATGTATTTTGGTACCTTCTTTGATCAAGGCTGACACTGCACTTGCAACACCTGTTGAGGTTTTATACCCAAGGCTGGATGTTAGCATTATAATTCTTAAACAGAAGCACACTGTAAGTCAGACTCAAACTGGGATGTTCTGAAATTCACAACAATTAACAAACACTAAGAGGAAAAAAAAACTGAAGAGAAGCAGTCATAGATACCATAAGTACCTAAATATTCAACAAGAAAATCTTTATACAGGTGTCATCCTTTGGGCTCATGGTCACATAAAAGCGAGTGCTGCCAGCTCTGGGGTGGGACGAGCACGTTGCACAGAGCTGCCACCACAGAGCAGAGGTGCTCAGCAGCCTCCTCCTCACAGATGTGCTCAGCAGACCCCTCCTCACAGATGTGCTCAGCAGCCTCCTCCCCACACAGCTCAGTCCCCACAGATGGAGGTGGAGAGAAGATGAAAAGGATTAGGCCAGCACTGCCTTCCACTTGCAACTGGATGCTACAGCAAGTTCAAAGCTTGATCAAAAGCTGACTTGTCGAGCAGAAAATGTGTCTTCAGAACCATCCTTAGAGATGCAGGAGGTGGCCTAGTTCAAGCAGAAAAGGCTAAATTGTGGCACAACACTTGCCTTCTGGTTTTCTTTTTGAAGACAAGCCAGAACATACACACTGTAAAACATGGCATAGTCTGCAGAAAGGGAGAAAAAACCCTCCACTCTAAGGTAGAGACAGTGAAGACTTACTGCTTTCTGGATAATGAGCTTTTATAAATTCTGGTTTGATTATTCCTAGTCAATAAGACAACAGCTACCAAGGATGACACGATCAGCAACAATCTCTTATTTGTGTAATGTTTCTAGTTTGCTGTCCAACTTATGCCTAATACACACAAACCAGCTTGACAAGAATCACAAACATCCTGTAATTAAGCGTTCTGCTCCAAATGGCACCGCTAATTTGGAAACAGCATTCCAGTATCTAACGCTCTTGTTCTGTGCTGCTGGGCTCTGTTAGACAGTACAGTGTGTTTGGCTCATTTGAAGGATCTGTTAAAAGCCTGAGTGGATACACACCAGCATAAGGTAGTGTTTAGAGGAACTACCAAGAGACCCAAATATGATAGATTGTGTATGCTCTTTTCATAGGGTTCTACCATCATTTGGTTGATTAGAGGCAATCAGTTCACAATTTGGCATAAAACTATTCTACCCTTAAGAATTCCCAGTAGCAGGCTTTGAAAAATGAAGCCATTTGTTATGTATTTTGTTTTCGCAAATGAAGCATCATAAATAACATCTGTCAGTTACCACAGTGATCTCCAGTGCTTCTCACCTGATCCAAAACTATTGTTTAGGTGCAGTCTAAAACACAGTTAGAAATGATTTATCACTGGAATCTGCTAGTTTTAGGTAACACAACAATAACTCGTGGTCAGCAGAGTCCAAAACTATTTTACTGTCTCTTTTGAATATGTCCAAATGAAGCTGAGCACTACAGTCCTTGAATGCCCATTAAAGGGCCATAAAACTGGATGCACTTTCTTGCACTAGTGGAATGAATTTTTTTTTTAATACGGAACTTAAAAACCATCAAAAAGAGAGATGATCGATTAGTTATAAAAAGTAATCTGTGTTTTTCCTCCAGAGAAAAGTGTCTCATGGCCGCATTTTTAAAGCACTTTACTGTTTTATTTTTGCACTTCCCTTGTGTAGCACATGCTCCTGTGTAGCAATACTAATAGTTAAAGACCAGCTGGAATAGATGGATCTCTAATTTAATGCCTTTCAGGTTGCTCTGTATACAGATTTTAACTAACCCTACCAAGGTGAAGAGCCAGTCTTCACTGCAAGAGACAACAATGCAAAGTACAACGCTTATGAAAACCAGAAAATAACACATAAGGTGCATGCCATTCCCAAGTTCAATGAGCTCATTTTATTTCCAGCTACATAATTTCTCTCCTACTAGAGTAGGTCCACCTTACAGCTCCTGTGAGAAACAAAGGCCAGTAAATATAACCTTTCACCACAGCATGTTTTAGAAGCATTTGCAAGGATGGAGTAGAAGAGCCTTTCCCCCACTTTCTCAAGAGCACAAACTTCTCCTTTGCCACGGATCTGCAGACCCAGAGCCTCCTGCTGGACTTTTTTCCTTAGGCAAAAGCTGTATTTTCAGCTTGCACAATTCTTAGGTTTTCTTCAGTGAGGAACCACCAAAAAAGACGTCAGTAGTTCCCAGCGCCTTTGCGTGACGATTTCTTGCCCTCAAAGTGTCACCGCATATTAAAAATTAATTAAAAAGCTACTTTATTGCTCTTGTACAATTGCAATTGCTCTCGTACGTGACGCAGGTACCAACCGGCCGCCACCCGCGCAGGAACGCGCTGCCACGGCTCAGCCCAAGGAACGGGGCCGAGCCCACACTTCCAATGGGGGCTTTTGGATAAAAATATGAAGCAAATGGCGCTCAGCAGCAGCGCTCTGTTCGGCGGGGAGACCGGGGCGGCGGCCGGGAGGGGCACTCAGAGCCCCCCCAGACAGGAGCCCGTCAGCTCCCGGCCGGTCGTGGCAGAGGAAGCGCCCCCGGGCTGTGCCCGAGCCCGACCCTCAGCTCGGGCCCCCCGGCCCCTCCCTCCCTCCCTCCCTCACTCACCAGCGCCGGCTCCGCGTCCCCCGCGCCGCTTCCGGAGCGCGGCCGGGCCGGGGCAGCGCCCGCCCCTCAGGGGGACGGGCCGACAGCGGGCCCGGCTCCTCCTCCCGCCGCACTGCCGGCACCCACACGGCTCCCTCGGGGCGCACACACCTTCCCTGGGATCCACACCCCTTCCCTGGGATCCACACCCCTTCCCTGGGATCCACACCCCTTCCCTGGGATCCACACTCCTTCCCTGCACCAACACAGCTCCCTCGGGGCACACACACCTTCCTTGGGGTCCACACACCTTCCCTGGGATCCACACACCTTCCCCGGGATCCACACACCTTCCCTGGGATCCACACAGCTTCCTTGGG